TTTTTATTTACATAAAATATATTTAAAATGTAACTTTTTAAGGGTAGCATTAACAGATACTTGGTGCTTCTAAGCTTGTAGAATTAAATATACATGAGGATTATATGTGCTTTGATAGAGGGCTTTTATTTCTTTAATATGTATTTTGGCTCCCAAGCCTGTTGGGCACTCCCTCTTTATAAGCACCTGGCCTAAAGAAAGCATGTAGGCTGAGTGCAGTGGTTCATGCCTGTAATTCTAGCACTCTCGGAGGCCAAGGCAGGAGGATCGCTTGAGCTCAGGAGTTCAAGACCAGCCTGAGCAAGAGTGCAACCTTGTCTCTACTAAAAACGGAAAGATTAGCCAGGCGCAGTGGCATGCGCCTGTAGTCCCAGCTACTTGAGAGGCTGAGGCAGGAGGATTGCTTGAGCTCAGGAGTTTGAGGTTGCAGTGAGCTATGATGATGCCACTGCACTCCAGCTGGGGTGACAGAGTGAGACTCTGTCTCAAAAAAAAAAAAAAAAAAGAAAAGAAAGCATGTATTTTGTAACTGCTTTCTCCTCCGGGCTGCTGTCACCCACTTGAGTCCCATGCCCTTTTCCAGGCAAGTGACATTCATTCATTCATCCATCCTGTTTGCTCATACACCATTCACTTTCTACCTACTTGTGCCAATTGCTGTCTGAGATGCTAAGAACACAGGCGATTAAGACACTTAGAGTCTAGTGAGGGAAACAAACATGAAAAAATAATTAGGGCAATGTGACAAATGTTAGAATATGCAGTGTAAAGTGGGAAAACAATGAGAAATGTCAAACTCTGGAAATATGGCTGTTTCCCTGCTTAAAAACTCATAAGAATGTTACTCCTGATTTATGTGGAATGTAGAGTTTGTTCTTATAATGGAATTTCCCAAGGTTGCTTTTCAATTCATTCCATTTTTACTCCATTCTGGGAAGAATGTTCTCACTGGATTCAATCAGTTTAGTGACATTCATGTACCTCCTCAGACTTTCCCATCCTTTGAGGGGACCTTTTCCGAAGTTTTACCAGGCTGCTTGATTTGAAGTTCCGTGCTCGTAGCCCCTTCTTAGAATGCGTATGATTCCTTTGGTTTTTAAATCCATAGATATTCATGAACTTTATAGAAAGTTTTCAATGAAAAGATACATTTTTATTGCCAAGATAACATATATAACTCCTTACTAAGTTTTGATAAAGGAGTCTTCTTTAGAGTAAAAATTTTAAAAATAAACTTCACAGGTTCTTCTTAATGTATTGTTTCTGGTTGTTTTATACTCCATGAGAATTACTAGTATTTGTGTGGCTTAATTATGGCTTTTTTGGGAAATTTTCATCGTTGCTACTCTGCATGTCTCCAAAGTTCCAGATTTTCTCTTGCTAGGATTATAGGTAAGAGAGTATATTCTCTTTGCTGTAAAAACTTTACCTAAAATGAATGGTTTCCTACTAAATTTCAGGTGCTAAAACAACTGACTTTTTTTTAGTTGCTTTTTTCAATACTTGAATTCATTTCTGTTTTATGATTATTTTCTGTACAAGCAGTAAGGGTGGGAAGCAAAAATATAATATACTTTCCCTATCTATATGTTGTGTCTCTCAACTTTGAGCAGGACTGTTCAGATGTAATCACTACCAATTGTTAGGTGACGATAATTTGCTTAGTGAAGCATTGTGACTAGGGTGCCCAAAACCACCAATCATATTGACATCCATTGATAGTTTTAAAAACTGTTTTTTTAACTCCTGAAAATTTTTTAGCAGTCTTAAAAAGTTATACCATTGTTATTTTTAAACAGCTTCAGACAGTTAGACCATGGTTATTTTCCCTTTCTTCTAACTTCTTGTTTTCACCTTGCTGAAAAGCAGAAACACTGATAGTATGCCACTAGGGTGAATGTTACTGTAAGCAAGATCAGACAGTCTCAAGGCAGTGCAGAAAATTTAGGATAAAAAAGAACTTGGTAATAGGTATCTCTCTATATGGCTTGTCATATAACTGAAGAAGAAATCCAATTGTGGTGTATTTCTTTCTTTTTTAAAAAAAGTGTTTTCTCCTCCAATCACCTAAACCATTCTATATAAAAAAGGTTGAAAAATGATAAAAGAAATAAAAATCCCTGTAGTCCTTTCACTCAGAGATAACCACTTGGGGGGATTTCTATTTGAATATCAGAATGGGCAGCGTCAGCTTCAGTGACCAAATAGCTTCAAAATTTTACCTTTGTGGAGGTTCTAATCAGCTATGTGTTATAAGCCACTTTACAAGGATGTTGGAAGACATTTTGATGCAGGCAGATGCTTTGAATCCATTCTTAACCTTTTGGATCCCTCAGACAGCAAAACATATACTGAGAGTTTTCAAAGCTAACGAGAATAGAGAGTTATTAACAGTGATGAATCAGTTCCGTGGTGTTCCTAGGCAACTTGTGAGGGACGTGGAAATTGTGCAGAAGCTATCTTGGAAAGGCAAGGATCCCAAGACAGTGAGGCTACAGTCCAAGGATACTGGAATCCGAGAGTTCCCACTGGGTCCCAGGAGGGTAGCAACACTTCGTGGCTGTTCTAGAGCTGTGGTCTTATTAATAATGGTCTTCTTAACTGTTGTATTTGACTAGGATTTATAAAATGTTTCTACGTGACAGCTGCTGACCTGGTGCTAGGGATGAAACAGTAAACAAGATATAGTCTTTATCCTTATGGAACTTTCTGTCCAGCAGGGAAAATAAACATTGAGCAAATAATGATAAGCCTGTGATTGCTGAGAAGGAGAAGTGCAGAGTGCTGAGGGACTGTGTCAACAGGAGGACTTGACTTAGTCTGATGAGTCAAGAAAACCTTCCAGGGGAGGTGGCTTTTAAGCCCAAGCCTGACAGATGAGTTGGTATAAGTTACGCCAAGAGCGGGAAGAAAAGCACCTCAGACAAAAGAAACTGCTTATGCCAAAGCCTGGAGATGGGAAAGCATAGCGTTTTCAGGAAAGAGAAATTCAGTAAGAAGAAAGTGGCTTGGGCTGGGCAGTGGCTCATACCTATAATCCCAACAATTTGGGAGGCTGAGGCAGGAGGATCACTTGAGCCCTGAGTTTGAGGTTGCAGTGAGCTATGATGACACCACTGCACTCCAGTCTGGGCAACACAGGGAGACCCTGTCTCAAAAAAAAAAAGAGTGGCTCATGAAGAAGCTCAAGAGACAAGCAGAGGCCATGTCGCTTCATTCAAGAGTCATCGTTTGATGGAAACACTGCAGCTCCCTGCCCTGAGGTCACTCAGGATCCATGGCCTCTGGCTGACTGATTTCTAGTAAAATTCCAAATCTTGCACCAATGACTTTTGAACACCAGAGATTTAGTCGAAGTTCTCTACTCTCTGAAACATGGGTGAAGAGAAAGACCTCTCCATTCCTACATTAGTCAGAATATCTGTCTGCAGTGCTTTGCCTAAAACTGTTAGAGAGCTGAGGAACTCCTTTATTAGCCAGTCTAGATGCACTCAGCTGAGGAGAATTTCTGCCAGTAGCCCCAAGACTACTGGGAGGCAACTGGGAGACAGTCAGGGAGACGGTCTAAGTTGGGCTGGAGGCATACCAGCCCTTAATTAGAGAACATAACATTTCGTGAATGACAACATAAAATTAGAGAATATAAAATGTTGTAAATGAGGAAAAAGTGCCCAATGACACTAATTACTCACAGCTTCTATGATCAAAGATGTTTCACTATTAATCTCTATTTTTATTATTACATCATTTTCCTATCCATTGGTAATCACTGAGCTTTAAGTTGTTTAATACTCTAATACCTCAGACTCTTAAAAATTGTTAAAATTCTGAATTGCATCGATACAGTATTTCTGTAATATCAAAGGGAGCAACAGCAGTTCTATCACTTACATAGAGATGTGT